AAAAAGAAAATCCTCAGGCTTCAATGTAAAACTTGCACAGAGTCTACTGGAAATCAGAGGTGAACTTCGGGTCAAGGTTAATACCTTTGGCGCTTTCCAAATGGCTCAGTACTTGGTTCCATAGTTCTAAAAATTAGCTTCATGTTGACAAAGTCCACCGATTTCACTGGAAAGACCATCTTGGAGCAAGGTTTGGTGACACACCATGAGTGGATAAACAAGCCAAAAGTTTGAATTGGTGAGATATAATTGAGCAATCTCCAGGTGGCATATAAACTCCAACAAGCTTCAGATTCTTTACCACTAATTGAACATGTATTATAATTGGAGCCTATGAACTTGAAGGTAGCTGAATCGTCCTGTTTAATTTGAACAGTAATTATGCATTTTTTGCACAAATAGGTGACTCTGGGAGCTGGAAGGTGGATATAACGATGAACATCCGTCCATCAAGGAGCACAGGCGTCCTCCTCGCTCTTGTCTACAACAACACAGTCCCCCTGTCGATTGCTGTGGTAACAAAGGAGGAGGAAGATGCAGTGAGTTAATCAATACTGATATTGGAAATAAACTCATGTCCGCATTAGATCAAACTTTTGTAACTTCATGTGCATTTCCACTGCAGAACCTGCAAGTGTTCCTGGACGGCGTCTCTGTGGCCACGCTGGACTCGCTTATGTTGTGTTACCCCGATCGGTTGATGGTGCAGCTGAACGTGACTCCGACAGAAATCCAGATCTCTGCAAACTCCTCCACTGTTGGCTACATTAAGTCTGAAACCCTGCAGAAGGCCCTGGAGCAGCTCAACACCACCATGCAGAATCCCATAAGCACGTACATTGGCGGGATACCACGTAAGTTAAAGAACAAAGGTTAAAACTTCACGTTTAAGTCTGATAGAAGCCCAGACATGAATCTTAAGGAAGGAATGTAAGTTAGGAATGTGGTGGATCTATCAAAGCTTACACACTTCAGCCTCAGGGTGGGGCTATAGCACTGCCAGGAGGAAACAGATACTAAAGTGTGGCAAGTGTGCAATATTTTATTGCTTTAGTCAACACAATAAGTTGTTTGAGCTTCTATCAAGTGATGCATTTTTCACTAGCAAACGTTCATTGGTAGTAAAAACACGGCTGGGTAATGAAGCATGGATTCCCACTGCAGGATTTTACTAGCTACTACATTTTTCTGAAGTCCGTTGAAGCAAAATAAAAAAAACTAAAACTAAAACACTACCAATTCTGCTTTTTGTGTCTCAAGAGGCATAAAAATTTAGCTATTTATCAAACTTTAGTGTAAACACTATATACACACTATAAGAATTTGATTAAAAACAAGAAGAAAGAACAAAATATATAAAAAAAAACAAGAAGAAAGAAGAAGATGTAGTATTCAAATGGACGCATAGAAAAGATTAGTTGTCATTTGGCTGATGTGATGTCACAGAAAGGGGCACATAAGAAGGGAAGCTTGTTTTGGACTTTATCCTGATTAAATGACATTTTACAACAACAAAAACAAAACAAATATGGCATGTTTTAGGCATGTCACTTGTTTTTCTGACATTAATCCAGACCAAATGTTTACCGTTTTCGATTGGTTAGTTACCAAACTTATTCCTATCTGATTAATGCCAGAGTGGTGAGATGGAGAAAAGAAAATAAACCAGCAAGAGATATCAGGAAGAGGACTCTGGACCTCATGTGTTTGAATTATTGTGCACAACTTCCAAATACCTAAAAGTGACATATTCGTACAAAGGTATACACACCAGGAGAATGTCTAGCCTTCACACTGTTCAGGAGGAAGATGTGTTCTGTGTCTCAGAGATGAATTTGTTTTGGTGCAAAATGTGCAAATGTGTCCCAGAACAAAACCAAAAGGTGTCATGAGGGTTACTGAAGCCAGTGAGAGAATGCCATAATCCACAGTGAAGCACGTCAGGAACTGAAATGTGCCGAAAGGCCACTTGTTGAGGAAGAAGCCATCACTCAAAAAGCAAGACGAGAAGCTTGTGGAGGAAAAGCAAAGGTTGTTTGATTCATACAGCTGAGAGGTTTCAGTAAACTGTTGATAAAGACTTCTCTAAAATTTCTGTTATCACTTTGAAAATGCTACACAAGAGCAATTTTGGTTATTCTAAAACAGGAAACCCTCCCTGTCCAATGTTTAGTCGTTGGTCAGGGAGGGAAAGTTATGAGTCTATTGTGGACTTTTTGTTTTATACGTAAAGACAATTTAAATTATTTTACAAAAAAAAAAGTCCAGTAGCTTTAGAGACTTAACTGATGTTTATGTCCATTTATGAGCTTTTTTTTTTTCCCCCAACTCTCTTTCTTTCAGCTGACATCCCTTTGCCTGCCACGCCTGTGTCAGCCTTTTACCACGGCTGTATGGACATCAGCATAAATGGCAGACAGCTGGACTTTGACGAAGCACTGAGTAAACACAATAGCATAAAGTCTCATTCCTGTCCTCCTGTCAGTGACCCAGGACACCCTGATGTACATCGCCCTGCATAGGAAGTGGCCTTAATTAGCAAACCATTAAAAAAAAAACTTCTCAAATTAGCCAACACCCCACATGGGACACTTCTGGGGATGTGTCAGGTAGAAAATGGGGTTTTAAGAGCTGTCCTTCATCCATGCTGTGTAACTTTGTTCACCCTTTTTATTCTGGGTTTTTTGGTTGGTCTTAGCTTCAGCAAAAGCTGGACATTATGGTTGTAGCAGTTTGTTGCAATAAATGTACAATTTTTCAAGATATTTTGACAGAAAGAGTTGCGTTCTGCAGTAGCAGTTTGTCCTGAGCAACATACGGTTGCCTTTGTGTAGATAAATAAACAAATGGTCACTGTTGACCAGGCTCTGATAGCACCCTGTCCTTGCTGCAGTCACGTTCCTATCTGTGTCTGTCTCAGAAAAAGAGGCAGAACCTGGAGGCCTCCGACTCATGTGTCTTTGGATCTACGGTACTGATCTGGGTCACACAGTTATCGAAACTTTTGGTCTCCAGCTCGGTTGATAATATTATGGGTGCGCAATTCACAGTGTATATAAAAGACAAACCGTGTAGTTCTTTCTGGTGTTTTTTCTTTTTTTTCCCCTCAATGTTTATTTTAATAAAACTGAATTAAAGCAATAGTTCTTACATTTTATTAATTCTGTCCTCTTGCCTCAAATAATACCGAGTTTAAATTCAAACTCATTAAACAGAACAGGGTCAGGTATTGACTGATTAAAATTATGCTGTCATGTACATGACATGTGACAGCAGCACAGATGCAAACAGTCGGAATTTGCTAATTTAATAGTAAGCACTTCTTTTTAATAATCTCTCCAAAGTTTTGCAATCTACTCTGTAGATTCTCAGGCATTCCTGCTGATTTAGGGTACCTATGTTGCAGATTAGATTGCATTGCTTAGGGCTGGCTCTATATTCAACAAGGCAGTTTTTTTCCAACTTTGTGTGCCAAAATGACACTAATTCTGTTTATCAATTTGATGCATTAAAAAATACCTCAAAACAAAGTGAATTATTCCCTTCTGCTTTCAGTACACATTTGAAAATAAAAAGTTAAGTTTAAAAAACTATTTTATGGATGTTTTATTCCTATTTCACTAAAATGTTGAAAACTTTTTAAGCTAATGCTTAAAAGTTAGGTTGAGTCTGAATAAGAGCACAAATCTTATTCTTAATCCTCACAAGAACTGTGTTCACATGGTAGATGGGTGCTGAAACGTTTGACCGTGTGTCAAAAAGACAAAAATCATGGGAGGAGAAAAGAAAAATAAAAAAAAAAAAAAAAAAAGTAACTCAAAAAAGGGATGATAATTGTGTACAGTATCTAGAATATGAAAATGAAACTGTTTGCATCTAATTTACAGGAAATGAAACAAACTAAAAATGATTTCTTGGCAAAAAATGTTTTTTGCAAGAATAAAAACAACTGCGGGAGGTTTTCTGAGTTACGCAACAGTATTTCCACTGCGTCACTAGACTAGAAAGGGCAGTACTTATATGAAAGTAAAAATAAAAATTTTATCCATTAAGAAAAAAAATGTTTCAGAGAATGTGACTTTTCTAAATACTCTTGTGAATGGATATGCAAGCTTAATGTTAAAAACTATTCAAGTCTGACAAAACAGTTCAAAAATTATTCAAACCCCCTGGCAGATTAACTCTAAATTAGTTTTCATTCAACCAATAATTTATTTTCCCTGATAGAAAATTTTGACATTTCTCAAAAAACAATAGTAAAATGTAAACAGAGTATGAATTTCGAAACTATAAACTTTTTCAATAGTCAATTCATATGCCAATTATTACCTTTACCCACTTGTCCTTGCAGGATTATTGGTGGCTATCTCCAGCGGTAATTGAATGAAAGGTGGGATATTTAACAGCTTTAATCACATTTTCTAATAACAATGTTAATATCTGTATTGTAATTACAGTAAACAATCTCTTCTTACCATCACCGATCTGCTTTGAACTTGTTTTGACAATTTATCTGTGGTGTGGGCTCCAAGTCTTCGAGGTTGGTAGGCCTCCTTGCCATTACCCTAATCTTTGGCTCACTTCACAGATTATCTGGCAGACTGAAGGTAGGATTCTGTCTTACCTATTCCAAACATTAACATTATTTTCAGTTAGAAGTAACATGCTAACATTCACAGACACAAATCTTAAAGGGGGATGAATAATTCAGTGCTTAACCACATAATGATAACCCACATTGACCCCTCATTAGGTCATCCCTACCCCTGAATCGGTCACCTTGATCAGATTAAAATTGACCCCCCAAAAAACAACAAAAACAAAACTTATATTCAATGTTAACATTTGCCACATTCCTCAAACTTGAATAGAAACACCGCATTACTTATCTGCATTGCATTCCACCTAAGCCAATAGTTGAAGTAAGGTGAAATCAGTTTTTTCCAGTGTATAATGGGGTGGCCGTATACACTCGCTGAGGAGAGGGAGGGATGGAGTTGCGTGGACAACTGCATCATTACAAACTCCTGAGAGCAACTCCCCCTCCAGAAGCACCACCGTAACCTGCAACAAGGGCTGAGGCGTGCAGTCTTTCTCTGCAGACCCACACCGGTACACAGAGGACGAAGCAGGGAGAGGAAAGTGCATCCAAACCGCAATGGGGACGAGCTGAACCGCAGACACGAGACAGGCTCGACTGTTTTTATTCTGTGCGCGTGCTGTTTGAAAGAGCAACGTTTAGTCCTCGAGGCGACAGAGACGTTGGAAGCTGCTAACGGACGGAGACGGCGGAGGTTACCTGAATACCTGCAGTGTTTCACACCGACGTTAGCTCGGACAGAGACGGGACTCGGAGACCACCACACGGGACAGGAGAAAGTTTCTCAAGCTTAGCGCCACCTTAGCGGCTAAACAATGTGGCTGACCCCGACAAAGTCCGTATCGTCGTCGGTTGCCCTGCTAATCCTGCTGGTCGTCCGCTGGTCCCACAGTGGTAAGTAAACAGTTACATGCTACGGCAGGCTAGCTAGCTCGCTTATTTCAATTTAATATGAAGCATTGCTTTTTATTTTTTTTATATACGCGTCACAATTCTCATTAATGGTTTGGACGGTTAACCTGGGGTATGTCGCAACATTTTTCTCGTTACCAGATGGTTAGACATGTCTTCGTTAAAGGGCACATTTTGTTTTCCTTTTAGTTTTAATCTCTCCCCAAGAGGCGAACCAGTTTTTGAGAAGACACAGGCGAGCAAATCAAGTTTTTGAGGAGACGAAGCAAGGGCACTTGGAGAGAGAGTGTGTGGAGGAAAGGTGCACCAAGGAGGAGGCTAGAGAGATTTTTGAAAACGACCCAGAGACGGTGAGAATATAAACAATTTTGTTGGACTTTTCAAGCTTGTTCCCGCTTCCATCAGTGGCATTATTTACATGTGTACACATATGCACGATGCCTTGTTTACATGATGATCATATTTACTTCAAACTGATGACTGCAAGTGACACCAGACTAATGATTCATTGTCTGGGCTTTGGGTGTTTTTAATCTATTGTGTTCTGTGATCTGCTAGCTGTCACCACTGTTCTCATGCTGGGGCCCTGACATGTTGTTGTCTGTCCTATTGTCTCTGTGATCAACTTTGAGTCATCTTATTAACGAAGCTTCAACTTATCATTTCCAGTTTTTACAATAACACCTCTATCTTTAAACTTACTCCTCACCACTTTTGTGCACAGAAAGACATGCATTTAATTGTATGATTGGTATTGGCACCTGCTTGGCTTATGTTTTTGCCAAATATGAGAAACACATGGATAATCTCTGCCTCCATGTATGTCAGACTGGCTCACAAATGCAAGTCAAAGTTGCAAACAAACCCTTACTAAAGTGACTAATAAAGAAAATAAACAGGAGGTGAGAAACCTTTTTTCACACATTGCATCACTAAACTACTGGCACACCTTGTTTTTGTCTCTTGACATTTAGCCACGAAATAAAACATGGTGGTGTGTGCTGAGATTATCTTCTTTAAGCTTCTTATGTTCTACATGTGATGAATATGTAAACAAGCACCGAACCAAATAAATTGAATCTTAATCTATGCAGTCATATTTAGTCTTTGACAACATAAATCTGAACACTGGTTGTTTCAGGTGTCAATATGTACAAGATGCTCTGAGAATTTTTGTTCTTGATATTTTGAATTAAAATTTTGAGATTAATAATGACTGAAAACAGTGAGAGGGGTTGGCATTTTGCAGCATTAAGGCAGGAATCCTTTGGCCTTTAACTAACACTGTGAGGATTTGACGTAGAGAATTGAGAATGCTTAAACATGTTAATCTACCACTCGCAGATTATTGATTAGATTAGATTAGCAAATCAGAGAGACTTGAAGACTGGAAGAGGGACAAAATAAAGAGGATTGAACTCATAAGTAAAGCAAATGTCAGATAAAATATAATTGCTAAAGAGGTAAGTATTTAGTGATATAAAGCTGCAGTCTCGTTCAAAGCTACATTATTCATTCAGAAGGTTCCTATTTCCGACTCTGCATTTTCTTCCTGCTGCAGCTTTTTAGCTCCGCAGAGACCGAACAACATCTTCTGTGGCATTATACACACTCACATCAAGTTCCCACTTGAGGGTGACTCGAGTAACTGATGTTAGTATTAAGTTTAGAAACAGTCTAGAATTTGGCAACTCATTTGCTGCATGAAATAATCTGCCTTTATTTATTGTAATTGTCCCGAAGTGATGGTTTATTTAAAAAAAGAAATAGCCTGGCCCTTTAATTTGGTGCATTGGTTCTCTCTGCAGCAAGACTCTGTGCCTCGAGGACTATCCTTTTTGCTAGTTTTCTGAAGATTTTGACCTACATGTGGCTGAGTACTGCAACCTGGAGCCTTGAGGAATATTATGGCTATTAGGAATGCAGACATTTTTTTTAGGAAGTCTCTGAGGAAGGAGTGTGTAGATTAGTTCTGTCATTTTTGTGTAGCTATAACACATATGTGGGTAAGAGAAGCAGTATAGAAGTGACTCCATATCTTAAAAACTATCATGTGTCACAAAGATTTCCCTGTTAATTATGAATCTATATTCAGAAGTAACTAAAACTTCTTTCTTTTTCTGTCTGATTCAGGACTACTTCTATCCCAAGTACACGGGTAAGTTCTTTTTTCTCTAAAACACTAAATCCTCCCTCTCTCCATTGGTTTGATTTGCAATTTCTTCATTTGTGCTGTCTGTTCTTTGTCTTTGTTCAGGCTGTGTGGAGAAATTTGGGGATTCTGAAAAGAAAAAGCAGGATCTGATCACATGTGTGCATAGTAAGTTTGATTTTTAAATGTGGTTACTTATAACTGATCATACCTTATTGTTTCCCCAAACTTTCTTTCTCTTTAAATTTTCACTTGTATGCAATGCTACACTCAGAGGAGGGCATCTCATTGTGCTGCCCGGTTGTGCTGCACTGCAGTGACATTGCTCTGCATCACTCAGAGACATCTTTTTCCTGCTGGAGTGGAAGTTATCTGTACCCGATTTCTTTGTCAAATCTAGTCTGTTTTTTTTTTTTTTTTCTGAAATGATACCCAGGCGTTCGTGAGTAACGTTGCAGCACTTTGCCACAGTTAATGCTGCACATTGGTTGATGGAGGACACACCCCTTCGTTCGTCACATATTCACTCCCTGCAGTTGCTTCTTCGTGAGCCGAACCAGTGAAGGAGTGACGTAGATAAAAAATAAAATAAAAATGTCAGACGTAAAATGAGGACAGGACTTTTCTGCTGCATCAGGGTAGAGGAGACGTGGAGCCACCCGGCTTTTACGCTATTGGCTGTGGAGTCTCCGGGTGGGTGCCATGATTCAGCAACATCACTGAGGCACTTAAAGACACGGCAGTGCTTTCAGCAACGACTGACTGCACGCAATGTCTCCCGCATCACTTTTTTTTTATTTTTTTTAATTTCATATCCAATTCATCCTGTCTCTCCTCCCTACACTGCAGAATGGTGGCTCTCTGTATTGCTTTGATCAGTTCAGTCCTCACAATTAACTTAAAGTTACATTTTCACAAACATCAAACTAATAATGGCTGTTTTTAGAAAGTATGACAACATTTAATCCATGTGAATTAATGGGTGATTGACATAATTAATTATATTTAAACAAATCATCCACAGATGTTTTGTCCTTTTTGGATGTAGGACTGCATCTAACGATTATTTTAATTACCGATTATTCTGATGATTAATCAGTTAATCAGAAAAAAAAACTTAGCACATTTTGCAGATTTTTCATTTAAGCACATAAACCGTTTTTTACATTAGAAATTCAAGGTCATTGCCTGTTTAATGATTTGAAAAGCATCTCTAGTTCTTTTAGGCGTATTAATCAGACTCATTTGAACGGTTTTAGAGACTTAGCATGCAGAACATGAATCCATTCAAATCTTCTGCTTGTAATGAATGCTGTTGTTTTAAAAATCCTAAATATGAAGGTGAGGGAAATGGAAACCACGGCGCATTCGTATCATGCGAAATAGGCATGCTTGTAGAGTTGATTCTTTGTGTGTCATGAACTAGTTTCTGTTTTTCTTCTTCAGACTGTGTCCTTTTCTGTCACTTACTGAGCTGGAGCTGACATGCCCAGACTTGTCAAGCATTCAGACTCCACTGCTATGATAACTGTAGCAGAAGAAACAAGATTTGCACTCTCTTACGCAAGCCTAAGATGTCATAGAGGACTCAGGAAGAAGTATTAATTGGAAAAGTAAAGTAAACACATTAAAATGCAGTTTGTATCAGTTTGATCTTTTCTATTCAGAGCTACAGCTCTCGTATTGTGGGAAAACCCAAATAGGGCATATCCAGGAGGATAGGTTACCCTGCATTAGGCTATTTATACTGAATTCCTGATTTGCAGAATTTGAGATTTGTCCTTCCTCTATGTGCTCTGCTTCACAGTTGCATCCAGTGTATGAATGTCACACACTTTCTTCTGTATCGCCTTTAACAGGTAACCAATAACACCTATTACCTCCTGTTTTTCAAACCCTTAAGACATTCCAGACCAGTGCTCTCCTTCTCCTTGCAATGCCAGAGGTACGGTGCGCTGCGAGGACAAAAAGGGCGATTTCCACTGTCACTGCTTTACAGGCTGGACAGGAGCCAATTGTGAGAAAGGTATGGTCATCATCACATGACTCGACATTGTGAGCTGGATTTCAGCAGAGGTTGAATTTATGCAGTGTCACCTTTAGTCAGTGCAGACATCTCACCACTCCAACCTTGGTTCTGACAGCTAACCCCTATCCTATCCACAGATGGAAAGATCTGGCTCAAAAGATTTTTTTATTTGGGTTTAAGGTCATCTATCTTAGTAAGGTGAAAGTAATTAGTTTCTTTCTATTTCACTTATGTCTTCCTTCTTAAGCTGTTTATGACGGGAATATGATTACCCAACTGCTGATGCAGTTATTATTCATGCGGGGGAGGATAGTTAGATTCCTTTGAATGGCATTAACAGGAACTTGAGTTCAAAACAAGAATGTTTCTTTCTACAGAGATCAGCATCATTTAAAGGAATATTGCTGTACAAGCAAGAACTGGAAAACATACTTAAGTTAAATCCAGGACCAATGGGAGAGAGAGAGAGAGGAACATTTCCACTGTGACTCATCCCGCCACCTTACTGTGAGAGGAAAACTGTAACAGATTTAATTTGACTTGGGCCAAACCTTTTCCAGAACATGACAAGTTTGCTCCTTAAACCTCTGCTGCAATCCTCAGCCACAGTTACAGAGTGCCGTAGTTATTTTTAAAGACTTTAAGAAAGTAAGAATTCAATTCATTGGGATTAAGAAGTCCTGCACTGTTCAGAAGCTTAGAATTTACTTTACAAATCATTCTTACAGTAAACATCTTATTCAGGCACTTTCTAAATAAAGTGAACTTCCTGCCGCACAGGTTCAGATTGGATGTTTTGTCTTATTATGTTGACAGTAGTTTCGGTTTTTCTGCAGATGTCAACGAGTGCACCAGAAATAATGGAGGTTGTGAACATAAGTGCAACAACACTATTGGAAGCTACCGCTGCTCCTGTCATGATGGCTTCATGCTGGTGGGTCGCCACATGTGTAATGGTAAGCCACAAACCACTGAACCATTTATTCTAACGACTGGGGTCCCATCACAGCTGCAGCTGCAAATAACCGTTTGTTACTGAGGTTCCTTCCTCCTTTGAATCCACTTGAAGAGTAACAAGCTCACTTTATAAAGACTTAATTGAAGTTATTGTGATGAACACAGACTACTTTAATTGATTGGTGTAATTACTTTAATGTTGTTAACCAGATTTACCTGTTCTCCAAAGTCAAATCACTCTCATGACTCGCCAATAAAATGGATTTCATCTGAAGCGTGAACTACACCTTTCTATCAAGTTTTTAGAAACTGCACTCAAAAAGAAGAGGAATAGATTTTATATTCATGATTAGAATATAATCATGAATATAAGAACAAACATTTGAGACTTTACCAAGGATTATAGGGAAAAACATAATGTCTACTTTTACAGAATTAAGGTTTTCTCGCTACTTTAAAAGACAAACAATTCTTTCAACACTTGATTTAGAATAGTTTATATTCATTTTGAGATTCAAGTCTTATTTCTAATTTAAGGAAGAATCTCTTATTCGTCACAAACTTTCTCATGTGAAAACGATGAGAAAGAGAAAATTATTTTTTTATAAATTGGTAACATTTATAATCTCTTGTTTTAACAAATCTCTTTCAGACTTAATACCACTGTAAATGGCGTTCACATACTCAGAATGGTAGTGTGACAATTTAAAGGTCTTAAAAACACATGACTTTAAGACACAAGCTTATTATTTTTCAGAAAAAAAACATGTATTTTGTCTGACCTACACATTATTTTTGACTAAAAAATCCAATTTTGCTGATGGTCTGAAATCAGGAAGAGAGCAAAGTCCCTGGAGATAATAGGAGAAACTCCAAGGATTGCATCACGTTATTTACAATATCATAAATCAAATTGTAGCAAATATTCATTCATTCCCTATAGCTGAATTTAATAAAACATATATGTCAGTTTTTCAGGTAACTAAGGATGAGGATACATCTGATCATATATGTTGTTTTGCTGTTGATTACAAATATTTAAATGTACAATTTCATAAAATCTCACTTTGACATGAACTGAACACACACTTTGTTTGATATTTTTAGATATCGACGAGTGTGAGGATGCAAGCGTGTGCGGAACAGCTCTCTGTCAGAATAACAAGGGCAGCTATGACTGCTTGTGTGAGGACGGCTACGTCTACGACAACAAAAGCAAAAGCTGCGTTGGTGAGTCTGTGTGGCCATTCACAATAAGAAAAACTGGGGCAGTTTTATTTGATCTGGCACGCGAGCGATGTTGTCCTCAGCAGGCGCCCGATGTAGCGCCGCTGTAAGTCATGAAAACAAAGCAAAAAATATTTTGGAGAAATGCTGCACAATTAGGTAACAGTTCACTGTTGAGCAAACGGTGTTTTTAATATTTTAGGTTATCCTACCGAAAAAAAAAATTGAAGCACACATGCAAATTAGCCAAAGTTCTTTTTTGCAAGACCCACAGATTGTTTTGGTTCTCTGAAGAGCTCCAAATATGGATTCATAGACCAAGGAATTTTAAAAACATAGACAGCCATCCAGCTAATTACCTGTTTAATGATTACATGTATCTTTAAAGTTTAATGTGTTTATTTGATCTGCTGTGTGTTTCCCAAGACATGCAATAAGATGCTCTAAAAAACACATTTTTATCTTGACTGTTATAAGTTGAAACAACAACAGAATCAAATGATGGAAATATAGAATGAAAGCCAACAATGACTCGGTGGGAACCAGACTTTTCATAACCTCGGTGTCCCCCCTCAGAGGATTGAAGTTTATTTAAGCCAATCTTTTCATGGCCATGTAAGGTTGTACGTGAAGCTCCAAAGTACTGCCCGGCCAACGTCAGTGACCTCTTCACTCAAGTGTTGTGTGCATTCCTTCTGTGTCGAAATGATGGAAAACCCTCTTTCTTTCAGTTTTGTCGAGGTTTTTTTTTGTGTGTGTGTTTTTAGTTCTTGGAAGTTACGTTTTCCCTGAAAATGATGGTGTATCTTTGATAAGACCGTGAACTCTCTGCTTCCCTGTAATCTTGGCACCACAAGCATTCTTCTCTTTAATCCATCCAACCTCTGTTATCACTTGCAGATGTGGATGAGTGCCAGTCTGGCGTTTGCCAGGAGGAGTGTTTGAACATTCCCGGGAGTTTCCGTTGCTTCTGTGACGGTCGTCAGGGCAGGAAGCTGGGTCGTGATCTGAGGAGCTGTAAGGTAGTGGTATCAGGTTCTGTTCTTGTTGGAAACCAAGAATTAAAATCTACTTACTTTATCATTACATTTAAGTTAAATGGTTTACAGGTGCATCTGAGAACCCATAAAAATAATTAAAGCCTTTTACTCATAATAAAAAGTCAAACCTCCTGTAATAATCTCTGCAGGTTTTGAGTTGCTCTTTGATGCTTTGTTTGGTAGAACTAGTACATTTCTAAAAGGTCTTGAAGCATCATTACGTAACTCAGGACTTCAAACAGTTTTGATGCTTGTGTACTTTTATCATTTCATAAACTACCTCATTGTGCCTGCCTGATAGTGTCATTGTTTTGGTTTGTTCTCCAGCCTATAACGCCGTGTATAACGCCTTCCCTGAAGAGAAATCCTCGTTCTCTTTATTTGGGTCGCATGTTCAGCGCCGTGCCCGTGGTGCGGCTGCGTTTCCGCCGCAGGGTCCACACCGGGTAAGAAAATGTTCCTCATGCTTATCACCAGCAGTGTGTGAGACAGTCCCTATATTTATACCCTGCTTAATGAAGTCATTGTACCAGCCTTAGTTCAGATAATGTTGGTGTGTCTGGCTGTCTTTAACTTGAGCCAAGGAAGTAATTCATTTTCAATCGACAAACTCAAATGTTATAGTTTGAACTCCTGAGATATGAAGGATATGTTCAGGGTGTGGCATTGGGCACTGCAGGGTAATTGTTAGCCAAAGAACAAAAACACCTGATTTGGGTTTGATTATGACCAGTTTTTAATCTAATTTATTAATTATTTTTCTATTTTAATGTTCCGCACTACAGAAAAAGATTAAAGCTCCTTGCATTTTGTCAATGCCACCCTTTTTTTTTTTTTTTTTT